TGGGGATGTGCCGCTGGGACCCTGGAACCCATAGCCTATAGCAGAGCTAGTTTAGCTGAATTTTGCTACCCTATACTAGAGTAACCACAGGCAGCCCAAGCTCTCTCTATGAAACACACAATATCATAAAGAGAGGACAAGCTTGTCCTCTCTTTATGAAGGGAAAACCGGAATTCAAAAAAGTCGATTAAATCAAGTTAAATTTGTTAAATAACCATACCAGGAGCAAACAACACATGCATGGAACAAGGTAAGCCATTTTTATTGAGAATTTTCACTTTCAACTATCTCCATGGATATCTTGTAGAAAATCCCATATAAACCCTTATAATTCGATGCCATGTTGTGTTGGTTGTGTGGTTCATAGAGAGAGCTTGGGCTGCCTGTGGAGTAACCAGTATCAAAACCACCAAATTCGTTCCCAGAGCCTTCGTTACCCTTGTCCAGCGGAACGGGAAACCGATAAGGGCAACGAAGGCTCTGGGAACGAGATTGTAAAACCACCGATTTCCGTCTGAATCCCGATTTTTGACAGTTAATAATATCCAGTAGTGTTTTATGACAGTCATCTATCGACGCTGTTGAGGCTGAGTTGCAAAATTAAAACTTACCGATTTCATTTTTTTTTATATATTTGAGTGGCAATTTCTGGTTTCCTCAGTTTAGATAAAATCTTCAACCAACCGGTCGGTTTCGTGAAAAATGATACCCTATTTTAGATCCAAACGCTCTGATTTATATACTATGCTAGAGTAAAAAATATCCTTCACAGCGGCACATACCTGTGTAGCCCACATATGGCAGTACCCCCCGGGCTTCGCGCTATCCCCTCCGACTCTTTAGTCTTACTCAGCAGAGTTAAGGCGCGGCTACCCAGTTTAAGAACAAGAAGAATCATCGAAACGTTTAGCCATAGTAAATTAGCAAGCAATTGCTCAAAGAAAGAAGTTTACGTATGTAATAAATACTCTATCCTTTTATAAACTGTTTGAAAAGCTTTTATAACAAATATAGGCATCATGGCGGAGGTTGAACGTTCGAGAATACGAAGTGTTGTCCAGGTGAGATTTAGAATTCGCAGCTACAAGTCGTAAGGCTTGAGCGTTCAGTTATAATAAGTTCTGATTAACTTTATGTAATGTCTGTTCTTGTTTTTGATGGTAAGCCCGTAACACATTCGAACTCACCCAGCACTGGAGCGGCGAGATCAAGGTCTCGATCAAGATCGCCATATGAGAGGAAGTAAGTATACGAATGAACTGTTAAATTCGATTCTAATACGAAGATAATAAGTTTAAATACAGCAGAAGTACATATGTAATGGTCAAAATCTTGTAATGTATGTTGTGCTTCATTTTTTATTGGTTAGAATTTTCAAAACAGTCCATTTTGTAGTTTCCTCTGCTCGTATTCATTGCAGCTATTTGGAAGCAAAGGAAAATAGTAATAAAAAACACTAGCCATGTCACATTTCAGGGAGAAAAATAAGACCATTCACCAATCATGAAAATACACTTTACCACCCTCTATCCTTGGTGGACCATAAATACATAGGTAGAAATAATTACAAGAGGTTTTACAGTAATGTTTTGGCTTAACTCCTAAGCAATTTAGTTGTTGTTGCATCTTTAGAAAGAGAAGTAGAGAAGACAAAGAAAACAGACAGAAGAGTGATGATGATAAGGATGATGATGACAAGGAATATCGTAGAAGAACACGGCAAAGTGATAGTGATGGCGATAGAAAGTCTTATAGGAGAAAAGAAAGAAGTAAATATGATTCTGAAAGGCGCCGGGATCAAGAGAGACATGGAAGGAGAAGACATGGAAGTGAAGATGATGGGGATTATGATAAAGGAGTTGATGATCGGAGGCAAAGAAGAGAACATAGACCTGAAAGAAGAAGATGGGATACAGCGTCAGATGATGAGAGACATGACAACCGCAGCCACGAAGAAAGACTGGAGAAAGATGATGCACAGGACAGCAACAAAAGAATAGAAACAGCTGGAGCAGAAGAGAATAGTGAAAAGACAGATGAGCGTGCTAAGAAAAAGGCAAACCCCAATAACCCACTTCTTTCAAGAACAGGTACAATAGCTGTTTGTAGATAATTGTACTTCACAGCTGAATTAGTAGAACAATAATGTATTGTGCACTGGCTTTTGCCAGCATGTTAGTGAAATAACTTAACTGCTTTTCTGTGCTCACTTTTTGGCTGGTTACAGGTATAGTACATGTAGGTTGGTTGACTTTATTAATATAGTTAAACCCAACTTATAGTATTTCATTTTTCTCTGTTTTAGGAGGTGCGTACATTCCGCCAGCAAGACTCAAGATGATGCAAGAAAGTATTGAGGATAAGAGCAGGTATGTTGGCACACCGTAAAGTAACAACCCTTGTTACTTTCAGATTTACTGGTCCATTCCGATAAGTCTGACTCTTTTTCTCTTCTTGTCCCCATCTACTTTTGGAGGGTAGTAAGTTTGATGGGTTGTTAGTTTCAGGCAGCTAAGACATGTACCCTATGTGGTGAATCCTTCTTAATAAATTAATATTTTTTCAATATATATTAGCAATAGAGAAGAAAGGGATAAATCTGTTGGAAAATAATGAAATTTAATCACTACTTTTGGAAGGCTGCTACTTTTTTAGAACTCTGTAGGATGTTTGTTAAATTCATTAATTAGTTTTCTGTTACCATTGTGGTTGAAAAATACAGTTTTCTTTGTCAAAACAGATCCACAAAATTTTTGCAGTTGTAACTTTTGTATTATTATTGCATATTTGAAAATAAAGTGAATTATAAAAAAAATTAATATAATGTTATGAACAGTATCCATGGGTTTTATATAATTTGTTATTGATTTCAGTGAAGCCTATCAGCGTCTCAGTTGGGAAGCTTTGAAGAAAAGTATAAATGGTCTTGTCAACAAGGTATGAATTCACTTGAAGTAACTAAAGCAATCATTAACAACAGCTTTTTTCATTTTTCTTTCAGTGTTTGTTGTTGGTTATATCCTAGACAATATAGGTGTACATCTTTAGGAAAGTTGTATTCATAGGCTTAAATTGTCTTTATTTTCGTCCTAGGTCAATATATCAAATATTGGCAATATCGTAAGAGAGCTTTTCCAGGAAAACATTGTTAGAGGAAGGTAAGACCCAACTTATAGCTAATTCTCCCTCCTCCCTGTTAATTTGTGTGATTCTGGAAGGTGTGAACTTAGGAATTTTACAGTGTTGTGGCAAAACTTGTCTGGTGTGCTGCACAGGGTTTATAAATCTCTGACTTGAAGATTTCCCACTGAAGTTGTTGATTTTCTTGTTGCAGAGGAGTGCTGTGTCAGTCAATCATGCGAGCCCAGGTGGCGTCACCAACGTTCACACATGTCTATGCTGCACTTGTGGCCATTCTGAACACAAAGGTTTGTCTGACTTATTGTTGAATCTGAGCAAAATCATTAGTTCGTCATTGTTAAAGGTTATGCATGGCAGCAATGACTTGCATTCAGAGATATGTCTGTTTCTTAGTGAAGCATTTGACTGTCTTATGACCTTGTTAAAAGGTGGTTCTCTTATCTTGTTTGTCTTTGGATTGATTATCTGGATGAATTTACCCATGGTGGAACAATTGTCTAGACCAGGTCTAAGTTTTTAGATGCAGTCTAAACTTCATTTAAAACTGAGCTGTTATTCATGAAGTGTTATTCAACATCAATGATTTAAGGGAACAAATGTTGCAACATATCCAGTCTTTTTTTGCTGTGTTTAAAATTTCCTTCAGATCATAGACCACCTGAAGATAATTATTAATTAAGTTAATAAAACACCTCAGAGGTTGCAATGAACCCAAAAGGGTCATAGCAGGGATGATTATGATTGGGCAAGATTGAGACAGACTGCAAATGACTGACTTCTAAAAAATTGGAGGCTTAACTTTTTAGAGTGCGTCATCTGTGACATAGCCCTGTTAAGTGAGATTACATGACTTTGTGTAAAACACTGTATGACTACTGTGGTTTGAACTGTTGTAGACAATTGCTAGTCCATAACAAAGATAGGGTTTTGAAAAATTTCCTTCTTTTCTCTGTAAACAGTTTCCCAAAAATGGAGAACTTCTTCTGCGTCGGCTTGTACTGCAGTTCAGACGAGCATACAGAAGAAATGATAAGGTACACATACATTTATAAGTCTGCATATTGTGCTCCTTAATTCAAATTCACATCATTCTATGTAACATACACACTGTTGAATGAAACTTTCCATGGTAAACCCTTGCAAAAGAGGGAAGAATGATTAAATAACAGATGAGTCAATTGAAATCTTGACTTTTTTTAAGCCTGGATGCTCAACAGTGCCATCACTTATTGTTACACCACACTGGAAGGGATTTTAATGCATCTAATAGGGATCTCCACCATTTTGTCAGGTCACCCAACATTAATGACAAGTAACCATTCTGTACAGTGTACACTCTCTTGGAAATAAGTCAGACTATGATTTCATTTTTTAGGAACACACCTACAGAGGCAACTGTACTTATCAAATACCAGCACAACTCCCACAGCAGGAAATGACAAATACGTCTTTTTTTGTTTTCTACAGACTCTGTGTTTGTCCTCCACAAGGTTCATTGCCCACTTGGTCAATCAACAAGTAGTGAGTAGTCTATACTGTACATTACATGTATACATGTGCGTTATAAATTGTGTTTAGAGCTGGTTGCTCTAACGCTGATATTTCTCTCTCCATAAATGCTTGAATTATCTATGGAATTTGTGTCTGATATCTGAACTACTTGGGTTTTGTTTTTGAAAATTATGTACTGTTAAATTGCAGTATTATCTGTTCTTACTAGTGTATTCCGCTTTCTTTCTTTTCTCTAGGCCCATGAGATTTTAGCATTAGAAATTCTGACACTGCTTATACACAAACCCACAGATGATAGTGTGGAGGTTGCGGTGAGTGGCAACTGTATTGATTGTTAGAGCTACAAATGTACTCACATCATTTTTCTGAATTTGAAGAGGAGCAAAGGGCATGATTGTTACTTCATTTGTAAAGTAAAAATGTCTTGGGCATGATCCAGTATTCGATGATTGACCCTTGCACATAACTCCATTGTGGTAACATAAAGTGTCATGAAGAAAATTCTTTGATGCTTTGAGCCTTGCCCAAGGACACAGCACTCAAGCTTTGGCTAAAGTTGGAAGCATTTCTGTAGGCCATCAAACCTCCTACACATTTGAAGATGTTTTGAAACCATACATGTGCCTAACTTTTTCATTCGGCTTTTCAGTAGTTTTAACTCAGGTGGATCAATGCCACATTTGCATCTGTCATTGTGTTATTGGAATTAAATACTTATTACAGGTACATAATATTTCTGTTTTTTCTTGTATGCTTGAATTCTAGATTGGGTTCTTGAAGGAAGTAGGAATGAAACTGACTGAATTATCTTCAAGAGGTGTTCATGGTATGTAACATGCCTGATATGAATACAGAAAAAATTGACAGCATTTTGATTTTATTTCAGATAAAGGGTTTTGCTTGTGTGTTTTGCACTTTGTAACCAATTAATTTCTCAATGCTTTGATTTTGTTTCTCCTCAGGTGTATTTGAAAGGCTTCGAAACATTCTCCACAGTGCTGAAATCGACAAGCGAGTCCAGTACATGATTGAAGTCATGTTTGCAATAAGAAAGGACGGATTTAAGGTATTCATGTCAGGAGGCCAAATTTCAATATACCATAAAGACTCATGTATAAGCCGCACCTTTTTGCTTAAGGTTTGGGCCAAAAATCACTGGTGCAGCTTATATGCGAGACCATTGCTTTCAGAGGGAGTAAACTGGCTTCTTGGGGTCACAAATTGAACTGAAAACTTTCAGTAAATAGAGATTAAGCATATTGAAACCTTTTGTTGATCATTGCTTTTGGTAGAAGTGGTGGCTCCTAAAGGAGCTGTTTGTTTGCATCTTCAGGTTCTATACCTGAATCTTGCTCGCCAATAGTTCTTTGAAGAGTTTTATTTGCACTTTGTTTGAGCAGTTAAACTGGCATGGAACCTCCATTCCTCTGCACAGCTGCTTACAATGTCATTTGCAACGGATCACTTCAATTTACTGATTTCTCCACTACATGCAAGAAAATACCACGCTATTCGGAAGAAGTGCGAGGCAAATGGCGGACCTTTTCTTTGCTCTTCACTACTTTCACAGCATGTTTGTCCATGGGGTTGTTAAACTCTCGTTTAGCAACAAGTTTTTTTTTTTTTTGATCGATGGCTTCCATACATCTTTATAAATATGATATCCATTCTAAAAAAGGCTCACAAAGGCTTTGGGAGATAAAACAAAAGAAATCACATTGAGGTTGATACATGAATAAACAATTTCTTTATTGTAGGTCCCTTAAACGTTGGTGCCACGTTAGAATATCATTCTTACAAATTATTGTAAAATTTGCCCATTCAGACAATACACCTGTACAACTGAAAACCTAACAGAAATATGTTTAACTAATGAAATGTTTCTGTTAATATTTCTTTGGTGTTTTGTATAGGATCATGCTGCAGTTCCTGAAGGACTTGACCTTGTGGAAGAAGAAGATCAAATAACCCATTTACTGCGGTTGGAGGAAACATCAAACTCGGAAGACATTCTAAGTATGTGCGCCGTCAGCTAAGATCTTCCATGTGGTTCTCAACTATCCATTTTTACTTCAGCTCTTTCACTCTCAGAAGGGCCCCAGTTCAAAACTGTAACTACACTGAACTTTAATTATGTCCTACAAACAACAAATAAACCAGCTTTTAAGGCATAACAAGTACCACATGAGGGGACTGCTCAATAGCTTTCATTTGAATGGTCACACACTAGGGTTTCATTCACAGACTTACTATTGATCCTAGACATCTGTGAAAATTGATTTTTTAAGGCTTTTCACATGACATTAGTTTCAAGAAAAAGTGGTCATGTGATGACAACATTCTTTGCTGTAACAAAATTGGACTTGTACGATGGAGATTCACGAAACTCTGAAAAAAAAGGAAACAAACTAGCATAGAATTTGCTGAAAATAGACAGTACACTTTAGGCAATTCCTTGATTTATTTTATCATGCGATCATCAAATTCATGATCACTTTTCTTGAATCTGTAACTTTACCCGACAGTGCATGAAATATTACAACAGATATCCAAGATCAATAGGATAAAGGCACCTCTCATATTGAAGACGTTTGGCTGTACAAAGAACTTATCTGTTTTATAATATTGCATGCTTCTGAAACTCTGTTGAGTACAATTGTAGTATTGTCTTAAATCTTCAGATGTCTTCAAGTTTGACCCAAATTTCTTGGAAAATGAAGAGAAATACAAGGAAATCAAAAGAGGTAGGCATATGACTTGTATACAATGTAACTGTATTTTTTCCTGATGGAACATTTAAGGCATATACTAAAATACTTAAAAATGCAATAATTTTGTTATTTCTCAGATATTCTAGGTGAAGGTGATTCAGATGAGTCTTCAGGTGATGATGATGACGACGATGAAGATGATGATGATGATGAAGAAGGAGAAAACAAAGGTATTTGAATTGTACAAGCAATGTTTTCATTTACTCAGATATTTAGGAACCAAAATAATTATTGTTAAAAACAGGATGAAATAACATTGAAATTTCTGCAGAGCAAGACAGTGTTATTCATCGGACAAGTTGTTTTGTTTTCTTGGCAGATGAACAGAAAATGGAGATCATTGATCATACCGAAACAAACCTTGTAGCTTTACGGCGAACAATATATCTGACTATACAGTCCAGGTACAGTGAACATAGTTTTACTATAGCTATCACCAACTGAATTCCTGGAACCTTATGTAGTTGCAATACAGTGAACATAGTTTCCTTCAAACATTGTTTCTCTTTGTCCTTCCACAATTTTTGATTAATTTTTTTTCCATTCTTGTAGTTTGGACTTTGAAGAATGTGCGCACAAACTTTTAAAGATGCAAATCAAACCAGAACAAATGGTAAGTCATTAAGAGTTAGAGCACTGTACATGGTATTGTTGTTTCAACGTTACAGTCTATAAATTGCTAAGTATCCAAACCTGTAATGATCTATTCTATGGAAAATGAGAAATACCCCGTAATAACGTCCTTTGAAATGTGAACTCCTTAACTAAGGAAACCCTTTAAACTAAATGATTTAATTCAGTAATTTTCTTTTTCTTTTTCTTCCACAGTCGGAGTTTTGTACAATGATTATAGATTGCTGTTCTCAGCAAAGATCTTATGAGAAGTTCTTTGGTCTGTTGGCTCAGGTTAGTTACACAATACTTGAATGTTGTTGCTGGGACTACTGCTTACTGGGGGTGGGGTGGGGAATTTTGCTGCAGTATGATGTGCTCTTTGTGACAAATTAAGTCTAAGAATAAATCATATGTACATGTAGCAGTTAACATTCTCTTCTACATTCAGCATTACAGAATGTACATCTTAAACTTATGACTTCCGCATTATTGGGTCTTGTAGGACAAGTGTCACATGAAACTTGCTCACCAAAGGTCTTGTACAGCTCAGTGTCTGGGAGGTCATTGAAATTTTATTTTTCTGAGTAAAATCCGGCTTGTTTATGTGCCTTTGGTTACTCACTTTCATCCAAGTCAGCAGTCCATTCCATTCTCTACCACTATGAGTATCAAAGTATTTCCCTTTTTTTAAATTAAGTAACAGTAGCTCCACTAGAAGAGCTTTGCTAGCTGTGAGCTACTAAGGCTTGTAATTTGAATTATGTATTAATAAAGTTGCTGTTACTGTAAATTAGCAATCAAATGTCACATATGGAAGAGAAACTTGTTAAGAATTACAGCTGGTGAGAGGTATTGACATAGTTTGGCGGGGAGCAGGCAAGGAGCTACAAGAGAACATAACCAGCTAAGGCGAGGTAGAAGATTTGAACCAGGAAATCCAACGCCCTAAACTACTCGGCCACGCAGCCTCCACCATCATAACTTCTTTACCCGTTTAACCAAACTTTTCCGCTATTTTTATCGTACCTTTTCTACTCTATCTGTTTCAGAGATTCTGTCAGATCAATAAAGCATACATGGACGAGTACATCAAGGCATTTCAAGAACAAGTGAGTTTTGAGATTAAAACTGCAGGGGCTTGTTTCTTGCCAGTGCATGGTTTCCACATAGAGTCTTTTCTTATCTTGTAAATTCAGACCTTGTTGTTTTGATTTTGTTTTTAGTACGAATCAATCCATCGCCTTGAAACAAACAAATTGAGGAATGTAGCCAAGTTCTTTGCTCATCTTCTGTTCACGGATGCCATTCCCTGGACGGTAAGAGTACTAAGCTAGGACTCATGGTTAACTGGTTCAATGATGTGAGGCAGGAAAGGTTTTTTAAATTGCGTTGTACTTAAAGCAACAGCATGCACGTGTCTAAAATGGCGGGAAAAGTTGCCTCAGTCAAATCGAGGTCGGTTTGGTGTGGTTTCTTATTGGCTAACCAACAATATCTTCACTCTGATTGGTTAGAGCTTATTTAAACGAGACTTATCTCTCTCAGGCTTCCTTGATCTTCCGGCCGTTTTGTCATTCGCAAATAAAGTGAAAACTTCAGTTATTTGTATTTGCTTTGAGTTTTCATTGATTGATTGAATTGTTTTGGTTTGTTGTGTTTGACGAGATGTTATTCAGTTGTCATAACACTACTTTTAAGTAGAGCTCGGCAAAACTAAACCTAGATCACTATAGCATCCCATTTAACAATAGTTTTATCGGTCTTTCAAAGGTTCTGGCTTGTATCAAACTGAATGAAGACGACACGACTTCCTCCAGGTACTGTCATGTTTCAGTTCAAGATAAACTTATAATTTGTTTCTGTGATGCTTTAAATTTCTCCACTCATTCCTGTTTTCTTACAATTTTTAGCCGTGTTTTCATCAAAATCTTGTTCCAAGAGCTAGCGGAGTACATGGGTCTTCCTAAACTTAATGAACGGCTTAAAGATCCGTAAGTAAAATGCTTCTCCTTTAGCTCTTTATTTCAATTTTTTTTTCATCAGTCAAGATTATCTGCAGAGATTAAATAAACATTTAAGAAACACGAAACAAATTTTACTACTTGTAATTTACTTTATAGAGAGGATCATTCAGCTCAATTTCAATAAGCTGAAGATGGCATGGGTTATGCCGAAACATGTCTTTCAAAAGATGTTTCGTGTTTCTTTATAAAATGTTAAAGTCTATAAGAGCTGCGCGTTGAACGCAGAAAATGTTTCCAGGCTCGTCTGTTTACACTTGTTCGAATTTGACACTAACTATGCACTATCATTACTATTTATTGCGTCTATATTTATTACTTGCGGAGAGAAAATTCTCTGTGGTGTGATTTATCAGGTTACAATCTGTCACTTGTGCTTGGGCGTTTTGCTAAGAAATTTCGGGTCTTTGAAAAATATCAGCTCCTGATATCCAACACTAATTCTTTTTTGTCTCTTGTGTATAACAATTGTTTTCATTCTCTTTCCTCGTTAGATTCCTAGCAGAGTATTTTGAAGGGATTTTCCCGCGAGATAATCCACGAAATACACGGTTTTCCATCAACTTCTTCACCTCTATTGGACTGGGTGGTGTCACGTATGTATCAACTTACATGTATCTCACACTTTGTTACTCGATATGGACGTTATTTGTTTCAGACTTTGTTCTGCCCCTAGGTCAACGGTGCTTACAGTTTTAGACTTTGCTCACCCGGTAGGTTAGCGGTATTTATTTAACCCAGTATTAACGGAGTTTATTTTAGACTTTGTTCTTTATCGGTGCTTTGCTTTGTTCAGTAGTTAGTAGTGCGAGGGCGATGATCAAACGAAGGACTAAGCGAAGGTCGACTTGTGACAAGTCTAGCGAATAATCTACTTATTTTTCTAAATTTTCTCCGAATAATGATTTCTAATTATTTCTTCGCATTTTAGCACATTTGAACCCCGCTATTTCGAAGCGTAAACGGGGAAAATATAAATAACAAGTTTAACAGTAATTAGTATTTCAATACTAATTAATATGTAGCCAACATGATGGAATGTATGTTTTATTGACCAAGGGTCGGAAGAGAACCCCGAGACAAGAACACTCGAGGACGAAGTTCATTACATGTGAAAATAATTATTTTCGGCGGAGACAAGCGACAGCTGGAAATACGTCTGCGTTCGCAAGCTAGTCGCCTAACGGCGTAATGATTAAAATTTTTTTCAGCAATATTTTAAAATTTCCCTCCGAAACTTCCCAGAAACGACAAAACATCGCCATTTGTTAAATTGGAAATCACTATTTGAGTGCAGTTCATTTACAACTCTACTAAACCAGTTTAAGTTTTCGCTCTCGATTTCTCTGAGGTGAAAGTTGATTCGGTCATCAGTTCAATCAGTCATCACCTTTTAGTAAAAATCTACTAGCGTTCTATCACAAATGCTATTCTCTGATTGGCTACGCTACTCACTATCTATTCTGTTGTAGGTAGTGAGTTACTTGGCAGTGTGCGCTTGCTATCAATTCTACGTTCTCCATCTATAAATATAGCAGAAAACGAGTTTGGTTTTATTTATTGCCATTTAGAAATGTGGTAACGTCAGTGAAAGGATTTCAAGACGAGACGAAAAGTCAGCAAAGTTTGGTCAAGGAATATTGTCAATTTTTGTCAAGATATTGCCTGTTGGTTTAGACTTGTAACGTTACTAGGGTAGCAAATAGTTGATTTACTTCACTGTCGAAATTTGGGTCGTGATGTAAAGCTTATCATCAAGTACAGATGGAAATTCATTTCCTTTTTGTTTCAGGGATGAACTGAGAGAGCATCTGAAAAACGCTCCAAAAATGATCATGTCGCAGAAGAGGGCTGGGGCGAGTGACGGTGACTCGGATTCTTCCAATGACAGCAGCAGCAGTAGTGAAGGTTTGTGGAAAAAAAAGTTTAGTCCCTAGTGATGTGATTTATTTTGTTTTCTTGTTTCAGTTTTTGTTTGGTTGTAAGCTAAAAATAGTACATTCGTTGCACAACAGATAGCTCAAGTTCGGAAGAATCATCCTCGGAATCCTCGGAGTCTTCCCAAGAGTCGTCGGACGATGATCGGAAGAAACGGTCAGTGAATGTATCACATACTGATGCAACCCGTTATTTTGTTATCTTATTGTTATTGTTTTTGTTTACATGCTTTCCCATTGCTCTTTTTGAATTCCATTCCTTCTCTGTGAATTTGCTGTCGGCAATCTTAATGTCAAGAGAGCGGAAAGCAAAGAAATGGCAACTAAAAGAGAGAACATAATGACTAAACAAGAGGTTATCAGATCATATTCTCTTGCTAAAAGATTCAAAATTTGGTCAGAATGGTATTTGTGGTTTCTTGGCAAGCACTACTGATAATCAGCCACTGTTCCTACAATTAGACTACAAGCCTACAGTTATTCTTAGAAAACAGAAACTTGTAAAACGTGACAGACCGGTAGATAACTTGTGCGGTGGTGGATTCAGTTAATTAAATGGCAAGTTTCTTTTCCTTCTTGTGTTTTTAGGCACAAAAAGAAGCAAGCAGCTCCCAAGAGGAAAGAGAAAGATACTAGAAAGCACAAGAAAAGACGATAAACTTGAAATTCCATAAAAATATGATTACTTTGCAAGTTTGCCATCAAGAGTTGACGGTGTTATTACAAATCTGTGACACAGACGTCTCCCTTTTCACCTCATTGTCATTTGTCTTGTTGATCAAGAAAATGAGTGTTAAAAGTTCCAATAAGAGACACTACAAAACGAATGGAAAAGTTATGGAGCGAGTGAATAGTATGATGAAGAAGGCACAGAAGTGTCCCTTTGTCTTCCGTCATCGTTGTCTAAGTTCGAAAAGACCGCGGCGTTGACGCAAATAGAAGCAAAGGATCGACTTCGTGACTTGCCCTACGACTCTCAAGGTTGTCGAATAGAGGACGACGCGACGGGGGGAAAGGGGGGGGGGGGGGGGGGGGGG